ACTACAGTACCACAAAGTGAGGGATCAGTTTATATATTGATTATAATACAGAATTGATCACCCACTTTATATTCACATAAAATCTTGTCTATCAAATTCTGATTAGGTATGAATCCACCTCTTCTTTCACTATAAGACTTGTATAATGATAACATTATTTAAAAAAGAAACTAAAAATATTTCCTGGCTTTAAATAACCTGTAATGGGTTGATAAGCCATAAAAAATGAATGATCAATCAATGAAAGGACACTGCACAAGTAAGTGATAATGTGGGATAGTAAAGAGTCAAACATTGATTAGGGCTACAAAGTATAGGAAGTTGTGCAGAGCCATGATCAACCACATCCTGAAGAGAAATGGTATATAAAAGTGACTAGATGACAGAACAAGTATGAAGAAGGTTTGCAAATGTTCAAAAGATATTTAGAGCAACGAAAGGCAAGAAGTTGTGGAGGGCCATAATTATTTCCAATTTGAAGAGACATGGCACATAAAAGGTGGATTGCATGTTTTAGGTGTTACCCCCATTTTTTTTAGTTGGGGAGGGTTGTGTTAGAGTAAGTTGAAACAGGATTTGATACCATGAAATTGTATGAATATCTGCTAACATAAATTGTTGAAGATTTAGGCATTTTAACATGATTGAATTATTATTTAGTCTACTCAATATCTGATTTTGAACCTCATTTATGTTATGATGATCACTTACTTTTAACCTCAAGTTATTCAGCATTTGAACGGCATCTTGTTTAAAAATGACATTTACCTGCAAATCAACTAATACTAGAAAAACCACAAGGCAGACTCGTCCATTCATATTGACTAGAAATAGATTTCTTCGTATGTTGTACAGTAATATATCACTGATGGAAAATGAACAGGTTTCTTACTCTGCTATATTGATTGTACAGTCTCACAGGTTTCTCATTCTTCAGAGCATTAATTTCTCTGGCTGTTCAAAAGGGGGTGGGTGCTCCAAAAGTAATACTTCCTATTTATTTCCATGGAAATTGCAATAGATATAAGGATCTTTTATAATGCCATTTAAATAAAGACATTTCCTCCCCCTTCTCCCACCTTTTCATTGGTGCAGTGATGTCATCAGGAAATATCTGCATTGTCCAGCTTTCATTGATCCTGAATGTGACTTGCCAACATATCAATGTTGCCAATGCCGAAGAGCATTACCTAGTAACACCTTGTGTTTTAGTGGCATTGTTACCTTGCTTGGGATGAAGTGATTAAAAAAAAAAAAAAAAAAAAAAATTATATTCAGTTTCTTTTTTCCATTTGTGAGGAGATTGTCCAGCATTCACCTGCCATATTGGGTGGATGTGCAGGTGGTGTGATGGATAGTGGCTTGGAATGAGAAACCATGGGCCGAACATGTGAGCAACAACAAGGTTCTGAAATGAAAAGGAAACTTCTATTTACCATCAAGAAGAGGCAGTTGTAATTTCTGGGGAACGTAATCAGAAAGAGGGACAGAGGAAAACGGAGCATAACAAACTTGATGAGCTTAAGTAAATGGATGGTAGAACTGGGTTTGGGAGAAATAACAAAGAACTATAAGGGACTGGAAGATGTAGAGGGCCATGATCGCTGATGTCCTAAATAAAAGAAGAGTTTGAATTTCAGTCAGGTTTATTACATTCACTTTTGTGCAACTACCCTAGAGAAAGGTATTAATCCATTTCCCCCAACTATAGGTTAAATAATAGCACTTGCATTTAGAAAAAATAATTACTTTAAAAATATTGTTAACTCTACATTCACTCACAAAAATAATTATTCTTAGAATCCAAAATATTTTGGTTTTAAATAACCCACAAAGGGTTCATAGTTTGTGTAAAAAAAAAAAAAATAATAATAATATCTGTCACTGCCATATAAAGGTATTAGATATTACATGACAGTTCAACACTCTTTTCTTTGTATCTAAAGAAATGTTTCTTATTTCTTAATACATTGATTAGTTTCTTATTTCTTAATACATTGATTAGTTTCTTATTTCTTAATACATTGCTTAGTTTCTTATTTCTTAATACATTGCTTAGTTTCTTATTTCTTAATACATTGCTTAGTTTCTTATTTCTTAATACATCTTTGGATTCTCTTTTGTTATGTAATAGTTCAATTCCTGTGCCTGTTTCATTTTTAGCTTCAATATATACATCTCTGGCTGTCTCATTTACTGATAACAGGATATTTATTCTTGGGAGAATATGATATATGAATTTCTATTTATCAGAACAATGTTGGGTAATTGAATGACAAAGTGAAAAACTTCTATGTAACTTGCTTTTGTGATATCTTTAAAAGCAAAAACAACAAAAACACATTGGGGAAACTGGATGAGATTGGCTGAGTTGTGCATCTAGACACATCAGGTGCCTTATCTTATCCTATATTCATTGTACTTGTCCATCTCTTTGTTAATTCAAACGACTGTTATGCCCTGCCAATGCTTCATAAATAATGGATTGTTCTGTTTTGATCATGTGGAAAGACAAGAGATGCTACTTGGTTTCAGTAAGAAAGTGTTTTTCTCCTGCTAACACTTCATCAATGATGCAGTATTCTGTTTTGAGGAGGCAGATATGTCAAAGATGCTACTTGGTTTAAGTGAGAAAATGAAAGGAAGATATACATTTTCTGACCAAGTTAAAAGCCATATGATTATTTGGCAAAAGCTCATGTGGTGCAGTCTGGAGCAGTGTTTTCCTGATTGGCTGTATGACCAGCGTTCATGTTCATGATTGCTATTGCAATATTTTGTTAAAGTTGTTAAGCTCAAATATTTAACGAGGCAATAGGAGCATTTCTATTGAAATTTATTGAAGAACTTGCCATGAGTTTATTCGATCATAAGCTTAAGAATTAAGATTCATCAGAAATTTAAAATAGGAAAACTGAAATTTTCACAGATTAAGATAGAATATATATATTTCCATCAATAAAACATCACTTTAGTCCAATGAAGTCTTTTTAGTGAACAAAATTCCATAGAATTTTTTTCATTTTGTTGTTCAGTTAACCAATATTCTTTCTTCTTACAGTTAATAGTTAGTCCTTTCTTCTTGCTTTTCTTTATTACCTTGTCTTTCAGTTTTCCATTTTCCAACACTGTGTATTAGTCATATTAATGCCAGAATTTTTTTAAAGACACACCTGCATTGAACACAATCACTTGAAATAATCTGTGGTAGCCTTTTTGTGCAATATGCTTGTTCAGGAGTTAGGAGGATTTTGGCATACAGCCAATCAGGAAAACACTGCTCCAGACTGCACCACCTAAGCTTGTGCCAAATAATCACATAGCTTTTAACTTGGTCAGAAAATGTCTATCAAGTCAGTCTGCTAATGATGGGGAACTTAATGATGGTAGACTTTGCAACTCTTTAAAGAAAAATTGTAGCATTGCTGCCATATTTGTGCTGGAGCCACTCAGTCCTCACTTTCCAGCCTTGATAGAGTTGAAAAATGTTTAGGCAGTCCTGCAGGGGAAGACTTATTCATCATTCTGCAGCATCTTTTCCACAGATGCAACAAGATGCATTATCCCTAACCATTGAAAACTGAATAAGAATTATGTATTCCTTCTAGATTAATTAAAGAGTTCAGTTTGAGAATCCTTGAAGTTTACCTGGATTGACTAAAGACATCTCTAGGGAGTATCTTTGTTACAGTAACAGCAAAGATTAGGGCATTTTTCAGCCCCTATACAATTATATGCTATCTACACTATTACTGAATATGAATTTTGTCATCTTATTGCTCCATTATCTTATTAGGTAGGTTGATTTTGGAAACATGGTGTTGCAATCAATTTGAAAGTTGATAAATAATGATAATTTTTTTTCCCTAATTGTTACCGTTTTTTGAGGAGATTAGTTTAAAGGATAAGTTTAGGTTGAAAATCATAGCTTTGTTCTGGTCATCAGTGAAGGCCTTATTGCACAGCCTTATAAAATTTATAATTTACTGAAGCTTTACAAATTTTACATGGACAAGATACATGGCACAAATACATTATTACTAAATCATTGTGCCATCAAATATGACATTCATTTGCTTTAAAGGGAAATTATACTGAACAATTTAGCTATATTATCATGTAATATGTTATAGTGTGCCATAGTCCGAGTATGATTTTCAATAAACAACATAAATTTAAAACATTTTGACTTATAATTTGTACCCAGAAGTATTGTGGTGTTAGAAACACTTTTATCTATTTTTATTAATTATGATCTAACAAATCTCATTCATTGAGAAGAGACTTTTTGTAATCTTTTACAACTTTTTTTTTTACAGATTTTACTTATCGAATACAGAAAAAAAAATGGCCTGTTTTGTTTGTGCTGATTCATAATTAGAATTCTGGTTTTAATATATTTTCCATTCAATGTATCTAATACAAAAATATCAAATTTATTTGGATTTATTCTTTAAATTATAAAATTTTAAAGTCAGTTTATCAGCAAAAAACCTACAGGAATTAGGTATTTCTGTACATATTTTTCAGATGGTCTTTTTAAAACTAAATGCTCAAAAATTGGTAAAAGCTATGAATCTAATTTTTGGTGTCAGTACTTATCACATTAAACCCCAGCTTTTAAAAAAAAAAAAAAAAAAAATGAAAAATCAGCATGCCACACTTATGACAAACTTAGATGATTTGAAACTATAGACTTGTGCAGTGTTAGTACTGTTAGGCCTATATGACCCACATTTGTATTACTATGTCACAGGACCCTGTTAATGTTTTAATGTGTGAATGCTTTTCAGATGTGGTGAAAATAGTAATTGATCATTTTTTTTTTTCTCTTGCAGTTTTTTGGAATTGGCTAAAGAAACAAATTTTTCGCATTTGGCAATAATTGTTTCTGTTCCTCAAACATCATGAATACGTATGAGACTACAACCACCACCACCGCAACTACGACCACCACCATTGGTCCCGATATCCCCTATGCGAAGAGCCTCAGGGGATTAATGAAACTTGCAACAATTGTAAGTATCCATTCAGTTATTAGCTGTTTCTGTTATCTAATAACATGGTTTGTCCCTTTCTAATCAACTGCTCTGGGAGTCGGGCAGGTTTTGAAATTGCTACGAGTCATATAACATTGTGTAATATTCAGTGTTAGAGTTCTATTGAAGAAATACTCGAAACATCAACTAAAGCTCTCCATGTCAGATTTGAAAAAAAAAAGCCTTTGGCAGAATATGTGTCATGTGGACATTGTGGGCAACAATGAATAAATATGGCTCAAAAGATGCTCCATATTATCCAGTAGGTGCATGATGAGACCAGGCAGTGCTGACCTGTTTCAGGGATTCAAAGCAAAATGGCTTCACACATCAGTTGATATAAATTGAGGCTAAGACCTGCTATGCTTTGCACATTATAGTGAATCGCCCTTTTCCCCCTCAAAGGCCATTGGTGAGATGTTCCACTCGAACATATTGTTTATGGAACTGACTCCAAAGAGGATGCTTTCCCAATCGCTACAATCTTAACCTGTTCAATCTATGATTAACTGTTATATTCCCCCACATTTCCTCATAAACTGTGCCCCTTACATTTTAATCAGTAGCCCTCAAAATATATAAAAGCTTTGTAAAAATATTAAAGCATTAAAATGTTTTTTAATATATTGCTGAAGAGAACACAAACACACACACACACACACACACACACATCAGGTGCAGCAGCAAAATTGTTCATTTTTTTAATTAAATCTTTGAACTGTTGTATTTTAGAAATGATTAAAGATATCTTACTGGAATTCTCCTAGGTTTTTTAGAATGCTATAGGACTCTACTTTGAGTAATAAGAATGTATAATTATTCTCCAAGCTTGACATGTTCATCATTAATTAATCATAGCTAAAGATCAGAAGCTCATGAAGGATTGATATAAAGTTCAAATATATATATATATATATATATATATATATATATATATATATATATGAATAAAAACGGACCACTTTAGGTTCTATGTAATAAATTATTTCACCACAGCCCTTTCAAAGGGCTTTGGGTCATCAGACTTTACTTCCAAAGGTTGAAATAAAACCTTTGGAAGTAAAGTCTGATGATCCAGGGCTGTGGTGAAATAATTTATTACATGGAACCTTAAAGTGGTCTGTTTTTATTCAAATTTATTTGCTCTGAATTTACATTGAGCTCTCTGGATATCATCCTCCATGGGTCTACCTATGCGGATTACCTAGTTTTGCATAAACTATGTAATATATTATTCTAGGATCATTTTCCAACTTATTCAAGATGATCTTCACCCTCTAACCTTCTGTCTTGGATTGACAAGGTACCTCAGAGATTTCACGTACCATTTCATTTTCAAGCCTTTTTTTTCACTGCTCTTTGGACTGTCATAGTTGAAACTCCTCTCTCAGGTACCAAACATCTTATGGATTGAGTTGGATCTTTTCTAATTGATCTCTTTAGCTCCAAGTTGAAATGATGATCTCTCTTTCTGTTGTCAACTCCTGATCCAGTTTTCCTCTCTACTGTTCCCTGTTTTTTAAACTTATTCAGTTCTCGTGATGGTTTTTGAATGGACTTTGTAGATGGAAGCCAGTATATGAATGTTGGTACCATTATTGAAGGCATGAACGATCTTTTTCCTCTCACAATTGCTCAGTTGGGAAGACATAATAATTTTAAGTGATTCTTATGACAAATGGTATCAAGATGGCTAAATATCTTATATGAAAACCTGGAAAAAAGAAACTCAATTATTTTAGTGGTTTGTTAGCTATTAAACATTTTGTGGGATGGACAATTATGTAACACCTGAAAAGAGATATATATATATATATATATATATATATATATATATATATATATATATAATAATGCTTCGGCAATATAAATCAATATATGAAAAAGACGAAAGGAAAATTTACCTTAATTCTCAGAGGATGAAAGTAAGAAGTTTTCCTTTTCATCTTTTTCATATTGTCCTTTTACAGATATACTCATCTGAAATTTTTATATATGAATAGAAAAATAAAAATGAAGCAACTAAAATTTAATGTTTAAGGGATCAATTTTCTGTTTTCTCTGGTTTTTCTTTTTGGTGCTATTAATAACACTGATTTTACAAGCAAGTGAAATTTACAATGGTTGGAGTTGGGTTAACACTGCATGTCTAGTTTGCAAATCCTGATTGGTAATACCCTGATGTCATAGAAAAGTAGGAGGGGCAGTAGAGCAATGGAATGAAGAATTGGCAAACCGAGTTCGAATTCCAGTCAAGTTTGTTACATTCACTTACGTACTGATACCCTTGGGAAAGGTATGAACCCATCTCTTCTCCCCCCAGCTATGGGTAAATAGCAGGACAGAGTTCTCTAGCCTTGGGTGGCAACCATTCTAGGAAATGGAAAACTATGAATTCAAAACTGTACATAGCCCTGACAAAGCACATCATGTGAAGCTAAGGAAAGGATCATTCACATTGACTCGATGATCCAGACTATGAATGACTCCTTTATAGAAAGAGAATCCTTCATTTTGCAGTAAAGTTTGAAAGAAGAGGAAAATTAAATTTTGAGCAGAGAATCAGAAATTGATGAAAAGAAAATTGCTCAGTAATTTCAATGGCCGAGAACATAGTTTTATAGAGCTGGTGGTTGAAGTCTTTGTCACAGTATCAGCACAGATATTTTCACACTGACAGATTGCTGGGTGCCATATTGAAAAAGAAATCGACCCAGTTTTATTTGATATATTGGGTAAACGATATGTATGCTATGCTTGTACAATATGGTTGATTAAACTTAGGAATGTAGCACACTGACATGTCTGAGATATAAAAAAAAAAAAACTCAAATTGTCAATGAAAGGTTGCATCTATCAATTGATCTGTATATCATAAACAATGGATGGACCAAAGTTAACAGAAACAATGGCCAAAAAATTTAATTTTTCAAATTAGCTTGTCTGTCTGTCTTTTTATGGGTTTGTTTTTGTGTATGTTTGTTTTTTCTATGTGTTTGTTTTTTGTGTTTTTTATTTTTTTTGTGCGTGTTTTTTTTTTTTTGTTTGTGCATGTTGTTTTTTTTTTGTTTTTTTTGTGCGTGGTTTTTTTTTTGTGTATGCATATGTTTTTGTGTTTATCTTATAAAAATCAAAGAATACTGAAGGTGATATATAACAATTAAATTAAGAACTTAATGATACATCTATAACATTTTAAACGGGGTGCTTTAAAATCTTAGAGCACTAATGTTATGAGAATGTCCTACAGTACTAATGGTTGATTAAGGGAGCTTAGCCCCTTTTACAGGGGATGTAGTTAGTCTATTTTAAGCCCTGTTGACAGGACAACTGCGTTTTATGGTTATATGATTAAGGAAATATAATTAATCATATCTGGTGTTTTTTTTTTTTTTTTTTTTAATGGAAGGTTTTTTTATTTCATTATGTCCAACTTTGTTTTCATTATATTTTAATATGGTTCTTCTCTAATACTTTCACTATCATTCAGGCTTATCTCCTACTGGTAACATATAACTCAGTAAAACCTACCACATGGACAGGTTGTTGGCATCTAAACTAGCTCCCCTGATAGCTTTTCTGCTGGTAAGGAGGGTGGCATGTCAGCCCCACAGGGCAGAAAAAAAAAAAAAAGACCTATCAAAGGGTGGATGAGCTTCGTATAGGAGGCAATTATATATATATATATAATGAAATATAGTTTTAAGGTGTGCTATATTTATGGGATAAAGTGCTCAATATCAGAGAGCCTATGTAAATATAAAAGTGAACATTGAAGTCAACACTCAGAGGCAACAGGCTGTTTCATGCTAGATGCAATTGTCAGGCCTGATGATTACATCTAGCATGAAACAGTCTGTCGCCGATCAGTGTTGACTTCAATGTTCACTTATATATAGATATCTAGATATATACAGATATATATATCTTATATTTTTATTATAAGAGATAATAAAAATATTTTTAAATTGCTACACAAAAGCTTTCATGTTTCAATACTATGATTGTACTTCCTCAGGCAATGGTAGGTAACTGGTTATAAAATGATTTCTTAGGGAAATTTAAAAACAAATTGTTACCTCTTAAAGTTAAGTGGGGGCATAAGGTCAGGAATTAGAAATAGACTTGTGGGTATGTCTTGATTAACCAATTAAATATCAGATTTACACTAAATAGAAAAATAAGGTCAGAAGGTGCAACTGGGTCAGTTATTTTTTTATTTTTCATGTCACAATAAACCAACATATAGACATGGAATCATTGATTATTGTGGAGAAAAAATTGACGGCCTCAAATATATCATGATTGTAGCCTGATATGACAAGTTCTATTTGTTTATGGGAGTTGGTAGGTTAAACAGACATAAAGTTAACAAAAATTTAAAAAAAAAAAAAATTTTTTTTTTTATATTCAAGAAGCTTCTTAAAAGGAACTTTGTAAATAAAATTAAAAATGTAGAACATCTATATATAATGTTAATAATACTAAATAGATGGTAATACATATATTTTTTTTTTCTTTTATAAATTTTAACTATATTTTAAGCTAAAAGATGAACTTCATCAACAGTTTACAGTTAATTCACTCCTTTGGCTTAACAGCACTTTTTTGTCAGTAATTTAATTATTTGTAATTTATTTTTTTAAACATAGGAAACAAATATATATAATTTTTTTTCTCTTTAATCATTTCAACCCAAGCAAAGCAGTAAAGCCACTAAAATGCCAGGGAGTTACTGAATGTTATAGAAATTGATAAAAATATATTATTAAGGAGATAAAAGAACAAGAATTAAAAAACAGAAGATAATAAATGATATTACATTTAAATTTTTGAAGATCATAGTTGACAGGGAAGAAAGATATGTTGTTGAAGAAACTGTTAGCATTGACATTACGGTTACATCTAACCATTTCAAGTATAAAATGATGAGGCCCTAGCTACCAATCTAGTACTGCACTTAAATTCTTTAAGTCTAG